ATAGATTGAGTTATTATCCATGAAGTTAGTTGTTTAATATTTCTTTACTTCACGCTCCCAACACGGGATATTCCAACTCGATATGAAGAACATAATGCATGTATTTCTGGAGGGGTAATATTTCTGACGACGGAAATGATAAATAAGGGATTCTACTTTGAACGTCACTCAAAATTAGCAATAGAGTTAATTAAAACAGAGATTTCAGAACAAATAGCTGTTATTATTTTCTTGTTTCCCTTTATTTTTTATTCACCACTGATATAAAATGTTCACTTGTGGACCTTGATCGGTTAGTTTAAGGTAACCGACATCATATTATCTAGTTATATACGTTGATAGAACTTTGTCGATCACTTAGCAATGTGTCCAACAGAAACTGTGCCATCGCGATGCACTTAAACACATGAATTACATATAGGCAATCAGCAGGAACTCCCGGTGAGTCTTTTAGCTTGATAGCCACATTACGAAATGATCAACAGAATTTGACCAGTATTCAGAACTGGAAAACATGAAGTTGGTTACCGTTCGTTGACCAATTTATGGATTTACTCCAGTGCTGTAGTAAGTTAGTTATGACTCAAATAACTCCTAAGTGGAGTTGCTGACTGTAACACTGAATAACGCAGATTCGAATCATACAGGAGACATCAGCCCCGTTGAGGCTGTAGATGCGCCTTACTTCTGAGTGTCAACAAACAGGAAAGCTAGGTCAAGCAGGCCACTCTGGCTAATACTTCCATTCGACTGATATCTGTCTCAGCCTTTAATTGCGTTTATGCATATGAGACAAAGGGAGAAAGAGAGAGAGAGAAAAGGAAGAATGGAAGAGATTCTCAGAGAAGATATATTCGCCTTACCAGCATGTCTTTTTATTAGAAAGTCTACAGTATTTCTGTAAAAAGACACCGCAGACAGCATATTTTTTTATGTGTGTATAATCGTTTAAATATGAATGTAAGGTAGGTTAACTTATTACTGCAGTGATTTCAGCCAATAATTAGCATTTACTCTGCAACTTCTCCAGCTTTATTCAGTGATTATTTCAATGAAGTGACTTTTTATTCAAGCATGTCTTGTTAATATGGATGATTGCTGGCCAAAATTGTGTTGAGTTTTAAACAAATTGATATATTTGCTAGAAAACACTTTATGGATCTTGATAGATACATGTTTAGGCTAGTTAATGAATGGTAAGAGGGGTAATTCATTTTCAGTCTCAGAAAAAGTCATGTAGGACAGTTTATCCTCATGTTATAGTCTGCTTTTGTAACACTAAGGTTAAGCAAAAGAAACACTTGAAGCTAAAGCACTAGCTATAAGGTTGGATTGAAAATCAGTGTTTATAATGTAATGCAACTAAATACTGGTAGCAAGTTGTTCTTGGAAACAAATCGTAAAGGACACATGTCTATGATGTTAATAAATGTTATGCTATGCTGAATTATGTCTCAATTTCCTTTTCCATGCATTTCGTCACTACACAGACATTTTTAAATTTCTGAGTGTGTTCCTTCTGAGATCTTCAAAATTTTTTATCCATTTCATTTAGTCGTAGGCGCAGTTAGATGGCTTCCAAAGAATGCAGAATTATGTCAATGTTTGGGGGGAATGAACAGGTTTCATACTTACTTGTTCCAATAAAAAATTATTGTTTTAATATGAAAAATACAATAAACAGTTATCCTGTGTCAAAGATGACTTGTTAAATACATGCAGTCAAAATGTGCTCAGCTTAACACAATAACGGTGAATGGTTTTCATTCTTTAGCTGTGTATTCACTAAATAATTTGTAAACTGGATAAAGTATATAAAACAGGATAGCATAGACATATTTTTACCCATTGAACAGTGAAATTTTGGATGGTGAGTGGTTAATAAAATATAAATGAAATTCTGGATCGCAGTTGGTTACAATCATGCTACCACCCTGATTTTCGCTCCACTTCCAGTCATCAACAATACAAATCACGACCATCTTAGATAGTCGAACTGATAATGAATTTTCCATCAGTTTGTTTGTACAAAGATATGCATCTTCCCCTACTATTTGAACGTTTCCGAAATTTCGACTTACACATGTCATCCTTGCTAACGACACCACTATATATTAGTTTATTCTATTTTATGCGGTAGGTGGTCGTTTTATTTACATAGGAGATAAAGACAAATCGAATATAGTAGCTAACATACATTCTTGTGGTTGCACTCTGTTTCGATAGAACTAGATAAATTTTTTCATCTTTTGACAATAGTTTTCTGATGTTGACAAGTGTTACAAACATATGACTAAAATATTACGTAATTGGTTGATAAGATACTCAATATCTTCTTTTTCGGCTATACTTTCATCTCACTGCATCTCTTGAAAGAAAAATATATCGATGCTCACCTTAAAAAGCAGTCAGCTTAATGTGGTAAAACCAGCAATCAGCCTATCCTAACATTTTTTAAATGTCATTATCGAATGGTTTATTGGAAGTATCTTTCAATATCAGTACTCAGCTGTCATTATACAACAGTTCTGGTTTCAAAAGAATTCTTGAGATTTCTTATCCACATTCAGCATTTTCAATAAGGTCATATGTTGGACATAATGGAAGCTTTCTCACATTATTATTCGCTGTAGTTCGGATTACTACTTGTGATCTTTTGAAGATAATATGCCGGAAGATTTCAACGTTAATGATCCTCTCAAAAGAGTAAGCAACTTGTATATCTGATTAACAGGTGGCAATTAGCTACCATCCTGTAACCGACTCATGTATACTAACCAGTCCTATCAAAGTGCTGCTTGACCCATGTAGCTCAAAATAGAAGTACTCATGTTGGAAGCGAGCGACAAATGTTAGTTTCACCTAGAAAACTGTTTCTTCAGGATCCATGGTATGCCTTACTAATGACACAAAAATATAGTACGTCATATCATATTCTGGTCACATTTCAAAGTAGTTAGTGAGGAAATCTGCCGTTATTGAAAAATAAAACAGTTTTAAATAGCTTTCTGTTTTGGTGTAGAATGCATTTTCCAAAATACGGGATCAACAGTTTATGTTCCCAGATCATTTTTACTACACTAGAAAAGTATAAAAGTGTAATTGGGGACAGAATCTACAGATATCAGATAGTATCTCTTTCTAAATGTTACATCACAGTCGACTCCATTTTTTTCTAGGTCTTCATATCTTCTTCTGTGGTTCTTACGTACAGTTTCAGTCATATCGCAGTGAATAAAGTGCCGATCAGCATGTTATACATTCCTGTTTTCCCACAAAGTTATTTTATTTTGGTTATTCCATTTTAATGACTAAAAATAACTTGATATTTACTTAGCTATCATTCCGAAAAGATAAATTATCTCAAAATGATATTAATCACTGACTGACATCAGTTAGAGAAACACTGAAAACCTGTGAGCAACGCACAGTCATTTCGTCATAGTAAGATACTCTTCTGCAGTGCACAACGACAACTCTGCGAGGTATCGAACTCAATATTTTTAGTACACACGGTGAACACTCCAACTATTGAGTTACTGGACTAGGATTCAGTGGTTCAAAATGTTTTATCTCTTTCAGTTCACGAGTTAGCATGTCTATCACCCAAGTTCTGTAGTTGACATCCGCTTCACTTCCGTCTGGTTGATCCCACATGTCACAGCTTCTCCCTGAGACTTCGAAATATCCATCTCGAAGTATGTCACCAATGAGCATTATAACAGTTAAAGTTTATCCGTATTAGCATACTTTCTCTTTCTGTTTAGTTATACGCGCACATGAATATCAAGAAATTTGCTTTTATCTGCATAAAATTATAAATTAAGTCAGAAAGACATAAGTAATACATAGAACAGCTATGGAATGGGCGTAGTTACCATTCATTCTGTTGACATATTTTATCTACTTTGCTCATCCAACTAAATGACGTTATCGCATTTCTTAATGATTTCATGAGTTCCACTCAGCTTTTCACACTACCAGACGTTTTTCAGATTGCCTAAATGGATGGAGCTATTGTGCACGTAATCCTTCAGAAATATACTTTTGTTCAAAAATGTTCATGCTTATCGAAGAACATAGTGCGAACATGATGCTTTAAGTTTGTGTTTGCTGAAATGCTGTTGATTGTACACCTTTACTTATAACTATTTCAGAAGAATAAAAAATAAATAAAGACTACACTGAAACATAAGCCATTTTCTTGATTGTGTCTTACTTCATACTAAGGGTGAACCAGTTTGTCATGCATTTTAACATGTACTGAAACAGCATAAAGAAAGCAGTTCACATGAATTTATTGTTCACGACTATATTCAGAACTGTTATTCCTTATTCTTCAGGTTTTATTTCAAGCATCCTATCTTCAAGTGCTGCGTTATGATTTCCGACACCATTTCTTTTCTTTCCGGCTCTTTTTATCAATGCAGCTCATAAGTTATAGTTTATTTGGAGGCCAGCGATAAAACCCAGGATGACAGCTACTAGTATGACGGTATGAATTTACAAGTAACAACAAATAACAACTGATAACTTTTGTAAAAGAGGTGGTTCTCGTGTCCCACTGACCTAGTGGATAACACTCTGGCATTTGAAGCAATCTGTACTAAGTTCCGGTCTCAGTGGAAACAACATCACTTACTGTGGTGCTGGTGCATCCAACTGTTGAGGCCTAAACTGGACAAAACGCGCAAACTGAATTCCGTCAATAGCCACCCACATTCAATAATCAGGTAGTATCGAGGTCTCGGTATAGGAGTGCATCTGTCAAGAGTGGTTGAGCAATTCAATCAAGTATAATAATGGAAGATTACAACGAATGAATGAATAATAGTCGCAGCTTAATTGTCATATATTCTTCAAGTGGCCGTATGGTATTTAAAAGTATTGTTATTAGATCAGCTAGTTTATGATTGGTCAACTGAGTAAACCAATCAAAACATTTGATGAGATACTATTGGAATCCAGTAAACCTTTAGCATTTATCCATTTACTTTGTCATTATCCTCATAAATAAAGCGTTATGTATGGGACTTAATACAGATTAGCTATGCAATTTCTTCCTTTACTGTATACAGTGTTAAATGTGCTGTATAGATCGACTAGTTTATTTTTTCAATGAAATTTTGCAAGGTATGTTAATCAGTAATAATTATTGTTGAATATTTCTAGGTTTTAAGAAAAAATAATTTGTTATATTGTTAGACAAAATCTTTTTTTAACTAACAGTGGATATGATTGATAGGTGAATTGCGCTGACTCTGAGCTATGTGAAAAAGATTACGTGATAATCATTTTTACTGTTCGTCTCCTAAAAGCCATGGTATGATGTTTGTGAATATGTATGTTTCTAAAATATTTGTGACGTCAATTGTGATCAAGCTGGTTTTCAGTATTTATTCGACCTAATGATTTTAAATAGCTTATCAGGCAAATCGTAATTGCATAAAGCACTCTCAGTGGAATATTTCTTATGCAAACATTCTGGTCCAGCTCAACTATTTGTGATCTTACAACTTAGCTAAATAATTCAGATTTCCACATTAAATTGTTATATCATGTCTAATCTTGCCTATTATAACAGTGAGTGGGGTACAGAGTGGTACATTTTAGAAATGGTGAACACCTATGATATACTTCGGTCATTTTAGTATCATATTGATAGAGACTCATAAATGATTGCGGTGAAGTCTTACTAAGAATAATTTCCCTGGAACTGAGGATTTCTGACAAAGGAGGCAAGGAAAAGTAAAGAGATTTTACGATTCCTTAAAATTTGATTTGAAGGAAATTCATTGGTCCTTCTGATAACATAGTGCTTAAATTTAATCTGTAATCATGTTTATCCTCATCAAGTAAAATTTCAACCACGGGAAAATAAATTTGTTTTCGGTGTAAAGAAGCTCAGAAACACCGTGTTGATGTTGGATATTATTATTTATATAATGGTGTTTGGAAACGTATTGAGCCTTGAACATCTCAAGTGAAAGATTAAAATCATTCTGGATATTTGATTGGCACATCTCGATGTTCAAAAACAATAATGAACGAACGGAGAGTGGATGATTCATAACGGTCACTACGTATCTGGACTAATGCCTAAAGATAGCATAAAACGTAGTTTCACTGATTATCATATGTTAAGATGATGGAATCTAAACATGAACTGTGGTGTATTTGCTCATTACTTTAGAAGCTTGGTTGTAGAGTAGCATAATAGTCTTTAACGTTCTGTGGATTATGTTTATTCAGTTAGTATAAAATCTTTGATAGCCAAAATCTGCAGTTATGTGAGTGCGTCAGCTCGAGTTTACGTACGTTTGCAATCCCTCACTGTCCTTTCATGTGATGTATAGATGACAGGTTTAACCAAAGCATATACTAAATATTAGGTACAACTTTACTAAATGACCTCTTTCTAACTTTTATTTTCCCAGTAGTTGTTAATTAGGCTGAGTCAAAGAGGTTGAAGTTAATGTTTTAAAATTGTAAGTAGAGAGATAATAGTAAGTTATAAAAACTTCTAGGAAATTACTTTACACCCAGTTATACAAAGTGTGAGAGTATACTCATGAGCCTCTCGAAATTTGACTTGTAAAGATGGAAACAGAAGCTGATGAGGAGAATCGCAGCGAAGCAACTTCAAATGGCTGTATGAGATGGCTCGGAGCTTGTATCATCTGTCTCAAATATAGTAATATTCTTAGGACAAAAAGCAGATAAAATAAGCTACTAAAGTTATTTTCTCATTGACATAGCTGCACAAATTACAGCATGTTTGAAAGTTACTTTCTGATAATGTTTTTTCATTTTGTTTATTGGTAATTCTAATTTTGCGTCGCAATATTGGGTAGAACTGCCCCTCCCTCTGTTGGCAGATGTGCACCTATCCAAAAGCCTTGATACTGCCCGGATATGCATTACATAGTATTCTACTTGTTGGCTAGAAATGGAATCCGAGACGTGCGCTTCTTTCCGTTTGGGACTCTTGAGCTGGATGCGTCAACACCCTAGTGAGTGATGTTTTTCCCACTGAGCTTCAAACCCAGTACATATGAACACTCCAATATGTTAAGCAGTAGGCCAGTGGTGCGTGACAGCTGCCTCCTGTAGATAACGCCTTAGGGTTTAAGGGGATGGTTACTGTGTCTCAGTGGAGCGAAACTACGCACTGGGGTGCAGGTTTATCCACCTGACAAGTCCTAAATCGGACGAAGCGCTCATCTTCAATTCTACTGTTGGCTACCATGTAGACTACCGCTTCACTTTTTCAAATATAATAAGGACAATGGAATTCATCATGTTTCAAAGGTTAATCAAGTTCGTTTCTTATTCTGAGCAAATAATGCTTATTTTGTTTTGGAATATACAAGAATGCATAAGCAGCCATTAAATCTGTTTCAAAGTAAGACTGTATATTAAGCCTGTTTGATATAGTAACTTTATTTATGAATGCAAGTCTTATCTTGATAAAATCGTCGGGAAATAGGTTCTACAATTTATCAGGATGAATTAAAGGGTTATAAAAAACTACCGTTAGGTAAGTACTTCCTAAAATGACACCTTTCTGTGCCTTTCGTCCTCCACACCTTGATTTCATCAAGTTAGCATCATGCAACCCAGAACTACAAGTTGTTAATGTGCAAAGCAGTATCACAGGTTTGATCAGTTTCACCACTCACCGGTAGAATAGAAGAATTTATGTTAAGAAATATACATCACTGTGAAGAAAGCACTGTAGTTGCTACTGAAATTTCTCATCAAGATTCTGAGATATACCTCTGTCGGCTAAGATACGTTAGTCACACTAATAAACAATCTCTGCTTAGTTTAGAAAAAAAGAATCAGTGAATCTTTACAGTTTCTGATGACTAGTATGGAAAACAAATTATTTGCGGGTGTCTGATGCATTTTATCTTTAAGTTTTTTTATGAGGATATAGCATTGTATCTATAATGAATTTGATGAAATTTTATAAGTATAAAACAGCTGAAATTGTACTTTTCATTTCCACTACTCTATTGTTTGTCTAACCAAATCGAACATAATGGTTTTCGTTAGCATATTAATTGTCTGTGCAGGCCTATCAATAGTTTTCTGAAGGTAAATAATCATATAAATGGGTAAAAGTGTTGCATACTACTTATGAGTTGCTGCGTGAATCTTTCTGTCAGATATTCCTTATCCCAAATAAGTTGTAATCAGTGACAACATCAATGGATAACTATAAAAACGTTATTTTAAAAAATGTCTCGATTCTTCCAGTCTATTATTAATAATTATCGGGTAATAAATAACTCTTGGTCATGAAAGTTTATTATTCTAACTGCACTGTATTAGAATTGTACGCATACTTTTTTACTCGACTACCGACATCACAAAGGGATTCAAGTATACCCTGAATCCTTTTCCATATAAGATACACAAAATGAGTCGATTTAACAATAATAGACACCATAAAAAACACTGGCATAAAATCCTTTCATTCATATTGGCTTAGTGCTTTTGAAGTCTACCAATATGCAGCTCTTTCTGATGTAGTTTTAGTGTTTTTTTGTTCACATCAGCAGAGCTCATCTGCACACTGAATGGAAATGATTCTTATTATTACATTCGAGCTAGCATCTCCCTTCAGGTTTTATTGGTGGATGCTGACATTGAGTTGGTGTAATCTAAAATGATGCTTTAGGGAACTTCAGTTTATTGCTTTCTATTCACGTTTAATATGAACATTTTACCATTATTTTTATGAGACTCAACTTAAGTTTGTTTCTCTTTCTTCAGCAGACATATGACGTACTTTCCTCTGTATGAATAATCAATATTTTCTCCACTTAAAATTAATAAAATGCCATATAGAAGCTGCTGAAGGGGACCTATTAAGGGTGAATTTCGATAGATCTACTGTAAGACCGTTTTATCTTTCCCTAAACCATATCACCTGTTAGTATAATTGAAAGTGAACTCAGCATAAAACACGATGAGTAGAAACTCACCTTCAAACAGTGTACATCGTAATAAAGTGTTTTCATCCATGATAATAGGCTAATTCATCGGAAAAATTATAGATTAATTTGTAAAAATGCAGAAATTTTCATTGTTTGTAAACAAGGAAGTTGAAAACATCATTTTCGGTGTGCCTCAAGTGCTAATTCAGGTTGTTCAAAAACATCCATGAAAATAGTTAGGAAAAGTTCTATTCATAAGGATGATCACGTAGTACAAAATGCGTAAAGGGATTATCTATTAACGTAATATAAACTTTTTCCTTAATCAACGTTATTGTCGTCTCAGTCCGAATGAACTGTCATCACTACATATTTCTACCAACAATGGTTACATTGTCAACCTCGCCTACATTACTAGTTCACTAGTTACTAGCCGATCCTAAGCACGGATAAAGGGGAAAGGCTGGGCATACAGCTAGCAAACCTTCACTACAAAACCCATTCAGTCGCCAATAAAACTTCAAAGCACAAAGAAAATATAAAAAATAAAAATAAACTTATTCCTCACTGGAATCGGAGAGATGAAATGACACCGGTTGGTGAAAGCCTTCGGGAATAGACAAGACTCTCCACCCAATATGGCGACATCAAAATTCATTCTAATGGGTAGGGTGGGGTGAGACGGATGCCAAATTGGGAGTGGACAACACAGGAAGAGAACTCATCATAGGTCGAGAAGAACTACTCGGTGAAATGATGAATGCGCAGATTTCTGCGCATCCGACGATTTGGTGATTGGAGGCAGTGTGTACAAACAGACACAAGGATATTCATAAGACAGCTACATGGATTTGACATGGACTTCATAAGACACCAGGACACACTATACCAAAATCAGATCGACTTCATCTTAATGTGAAGAAAGTGGAGATGGAGACGCAGCCTACTGGACACAAGATCAGATGAAGGGGAGCAGATGTAGGTTTGCACCACTCATACCACTATCTAGTGCAAGCAACCTACTTCCAAAGTCAAGTTGAAAGACCTCAATTCAAAGAAGTTGGTGATGATGGAGCACAATTCAAGTTGAATACCCACCCAGAACAGAAACTGAACTGAAGGATAAAACTACAAATGACATCTTCACGTCAGACAGTCATCAGCAAAATATGGGAGACATTGAGGAACATTGCTGAGGAAACCTGTGAGGAAGAAGACTTGAACTCTTTGGAAGCTATGTGGAAGAGAACCTGCATAACCGTGTTAGGAAGAAAGAAGAAGTAAGACAAGGAACGGATCTCCACGGACACATGGAATCTGATGGAGGATGTAGAGTAAGATGGTGATGATGGAGCTGAAGATGAACCAGTGCAGTGCAGGGATGAAAAACGGAGAGGGGAACTGAACACAACGTATAAAACACTATACTGGACAAAGAGGTGAAGAAGAGTGTATGCAAAGAAAAAAGACTCTTCTATGACACACTTGCAAGTGAAGCGGAATAGGCTGCTAGTAGAAGAGACAGAGACGTGACAACATTTTTTGTATCAAATAACCACAGATGAAACCAATGAAAGACGGTGAAGGAAAGCTAGTTAGAAAAGAGGAGAAAGAAAGGGAACGATGGGCTGACCACTCCAAAACAAATCTTTAATCGGCCACTACCAACAACACCACCTGCAACTCGTCCAGAAATACAACCAGCAACTCAGCCACGGAACTATCAGTGAACACAAACCCTCCGACAAAAGCAAGAAGTGCCATAAAGTTGCTGAAGTCCGGGAAGGCAGCAGGACCAGATAAAATTCCTCCAGAAGCACTGAGAACAGACGCAGAGAAAACAGCGGACATGCTCACATCATTAGTGCAGAAGGTTTGGAAGGAAGGAAGGAAGGAAGGAGGGAAAGGTACTTGCGGACCGACTGGAAGAAGAAGGGCTACTTTGTCAAACTCCCAGAGAAGGGTGACCTAAGTCTCCGCATAAACAATAACTGGCGCGGAATCATGCTGCTGTCCCTGTCAGTCACAAGCAAGCAAAATATTAAGCCGCATCATCCTGGAGAGACTAATAGGAAAATGCTCAGCATTCAAAATTACAACCGGGACAGGCTAGTTGGCTGGCTGGTTGGCTGGCTGGATGACTGGCTTATTGGCTGGCTTCAGGAAGAACAAATCATATGCGGATCAAATTGGAACGCAACGCAACACTACGCATCGTCATAGAACAGGGCATAGAATGGCAGTCAACTGTACCTGTACCTCAACTTCACTGACTTAGAAATGCCTTCGACAGCGTTGACCAAGAAGTAATTTGGCATGCAGCAGCTTCAAAACCACAGTCTCAGTGCCACAAATCCTCATTAACCTCATTCAGTAGTAGCTATATGCAATGTGGTGAAGCTACATGTCACGTGGTTCACAATGGAAAGCTAAGTGACCCCTCTGAAGTGAAGACTGGTCTTTAGGTTAGACAAGGTTGCCTGCCGTCTACTATCACCGGTCATCTTCCTGATTATGGTCGACTGGAATGGACTGAACAAGACTGGACTGAAGTGAAGTGGAGAGGATCATGCAACAAACTGTGAAGAGCTGTGAAAAGAAGGGAATACGCTGGCTGGACCGATGAAGAAACCCTAGACGATTTGGATTTCGCCGCCAATGATGATTTATGTCTGATGTCTTGTCGCACAAACTCGAAGATCTACAAGCAAAAACCAACAAGTTGACAGAAGAGGTGAGGCAGCGTAGATGAGACTCCCTTCAGGTGAACGTAGAGGAGACAGAGGTGATGAAGACACCCAATCACCACCACCACCACCACCAACAACAACAACAACAACAGCAACAACAAATATCAATCACCATGAACGAGAGAAGCTTAAAGGAAATAGTCTCTTTCACCTACCTAGACAAGGCAGCATCGTTTCAACTACAGGCAGCGGTGGCACAGATGAGGATGTGAAATCCAGTAATGAAAAAGCAAGACAGGCCTTCATTAAGCTGAAACGAGTGTGGAGATCCACCTACGATACTGCACTACACTCAGCTCAAAGCGTGAACAAGATCTGGTTCTTCAGCACTAAGTCAGTCAGGTGAGTCAGTGCTTCTATGTGAAGGTTGAGAGACTTGGCGTCGCATTATGAAAGGCATTTCCAACAAACTCCACACATACGTCAACAGCTGCCACCTGCGCTCACTCGATACTGACACTGAACATCAGATGCGTTGTTGGGAGGAATAAACAACAAGGAAGTCTGACCTGGCAACCAATTAAACGACTACCCATCACCCAGCAAATATGCAGAATACAGTTGAGATAGATTGAGCATACACTGGGAAGATCGATTGGGGCCATCACGCGTCAGGTCAGACTGTCTAGTGGAATCGAAATGTGAGACGACGAGTTGGGCGTCTGAGACGAGGGTGACATGGAGGAGATGGTGTGGTGAAGAAATGAAAGGTTGTGGGCAGTGATGGAGTCAGACTGAAAAGACTGGAGAGAAGAGAGTGAAATGGTGACATGCTACTGAATCCATATTTTACACTAAGTACCCAGGGTTCAACTATTAATCATAATAATACTTTTGCCGATACTACTACTGCTGCTTATAATAATAACTATAATAACAATAAGATGGTTAGTTCATCGCCCATTAGTTCTTGAGTGTAATACCTCGCGGGTTCGATCCCATGAGTGCTCAAGGGTGCGCACTGCTGGGGAGTCTCATCCATGGACGAAACGGCTGCTCAATGCTCTCAGGTTTTCATTGTACCTCCAACTGATATTAGTCCACAGTGAATACCAACTTAAAATAGCTCTGAATCCCAGTAAACCCCTAAATTCCTATTTCAATTTACCAAGTAAGGAGAGTATAAACAACTACGTAGCAGTTTAATATTGGGGGCTAGTGAATGTTATTGAGAATATTTTATCGATTAAAACAACACTTACATATTGATTTCCAGTAGCACATGATGGGAAAAGACGAAATACTCAATGAGCATACTATTTCTTCGTTTTTAGGGGATCAATATATATAGAAAGAAATTTTTATCACGCATTATTATCAGTCAGAGTAACATTGAAAAACAAAGAAAGCTGTATTATTGCTTGTTCCTCGTTTGGGACATCTCACTAGGGTCTCATGGGATGGGACCGAGGAACGTATGGTTTCGTAGTAGGAATATTATAACTTACCAGTTCCTGTTCTACAACCTTTGTTTGCTGGCAATGAGCTTCAAGTTAGGATCTTTAGGGTTATGCTGTGAAGTCCTTATCCGTAATATCAATCAGGTCGTGCGAAACACAAATATTTTTTCATGAAACTATTTCATGTTCACTTTATATCATAAATTTAAAGGAGTTCGAAATGTGGATTATTGAATTTCAACTCAGTAACTGAATGGTATCCTGCTCACCTCAAAATCTGACAGTCCTATTCTTACGCTAGCCATATGTCCTATACCGGAACGAAACAGCTGTTCAGTGCTCTTTCTTGTTTTGTTTTCAATGTTTACATAGCTACCGTCGACGCATACCGAAAATCTTCATTAAAATCAGCCAAGCCCTAAAAATTCCATCTGTTCATAGAGGAATTTAAAGTTATCATGTTCCGATCAATAGTAAGTTCTCAATCTCATTGGTCAGTTGTCACAGATAACATATTTTTCGATTCTTTTTACAAATCACTATTGACACATGCAGTGAGGGTGACTCACGAGGATTTTTAATCACATGATACAATTTAGTGGACAAACAACCCAAATATCAAATTAAAAAAATGCTTCATATGATATGTATGTATGTATGTATGTATTAGTATATATGATAAACATTTCAACACGATGTGATTGGGTGGAATTATTGTCATCAAGGTGTTACTTATAATTGAAACCTTTTGTTTTGTTAACATTTAATTCACATTAATTTTCAATGAACTGATCAAACTAGGGTTGGCACATCAGAATTTTTTCGGCTGCCAGTATCATCTTCTAACTGCCCAAAAATCTCAGAAGTATATTTATAAAAGATCATTTTTTAATAATTGTTGACTTATTAGCCATGTAGCGTAATGTTTGGATTAATATCTAACTTAGTAAGAGTGCTAACATGCCCGTTAATTCGACTGGGTCCATAACATCTGTTGCATGCGAAAAATGTAGTTAGGATAGTCGTTTCTGTAATCCAGTTATATCTTTCAGGAGAGATTATTCCTTTATCATTTAAAGACTAATTCATTCATATTTTGAGGCTGTTTATTAAAATGATATTTTGTCATTATAAGAAACTCATTTAATAATACAAATAAAGTTGCGTTTAGAGAAATGATATAAAGCTATTTCGCATGATAAGAATGATCTTGATGATGTTTTAGACTTTGATGACTTCTATGACTGCATGATAGAGTGTTTAGTATTGTTTTGAATAAAGTCAACATAAATTTCTGACTAAAGTGACATCTGGTAATTACTCTGTTGGTTTTTTTGAAAGGACAATTAGCTTACTTGCTGTGTTCAAAAGTATGGCTTTCCTGACATATAGAGAATCATTAGAATGAGTTTATGTTCAGAAAAGCCAAACTTGTAGATAGCAATTGCGAAAGGAATGCGAGAAGACATCTGCGAACTTGAAGTATGAGTCAAGAAGCGAGCAGTTATTGTCCAAATACATATCCGGTTTCCTAAATGATGGAAAAAATCAGCAAATACAAGGTCAAGGAAATTAGCTGAAGCATTTCTGAAGATAAAGGAAATGTAGCTAGATTTACCCACCGACCACATCATATTTCTTCAAAATAATCTACTAAATATAGGAGTAAAGCTTGGGTGCTGTGGTTGATTGTAATTCCATTTTAGTCTGTTTATAAGAAATATCACACAGTCAAGCAGTATCACTTACTGGATAACGTTTCGGACACATTTTACTGCCTATATTCATATTAGTTAACTCCACAATTTTGAGACAGAATTTATATATTCATCTCATCCCACCTCGGTTTAAGTGATAGGGCGAAAAGGCTTACTAGTTAACAGAAAATCTACGACAAGAAATTAGACGCTTACGTTTCAATAACTACTCACCAAAACTGATAAATAAATTCATAAGAAATCGAAAGAAAAATATTAGCAGTGGCAGTAATACTGATGTTATTCATAATAATTTGCAACTATTAGTAACAATGGTGACAGGGTTAGAAGAGAATTCAAAGCCCCTGCTTTGTTACTATACAAGGAAGGTACCTCGGAAGCATTACGAAGAATTCTCAATAAGGCTGGCTGGGGTTAAAGTGGCATTTAAACCAACAACCTCGCTTAGAAACAAGCTCTATAGCTTAAAAGAACCCAGTGATGCAGTTAGAAGAAATAATTTGGTTTACCAAATCCCTAGCAATGATTGCGAGGTCGAATATGTAGACCAGGGTCAAATATAATAACAGAGTACAAAAACTTAGCAAAATCAAGATTAGGAGATCCCAACCAGATAAAGAATTTATTAAACAGTTTAGCTGTAGCTATGTACAAAATCGCGCACTACAGGGTGGGATTGAGCGAGAGTATTAAAATCTTAGTTGAGTGAAGGGAGAGATTGATAACCGAATCTTCGTTTACTGAATCAACACCAAATACATGCAATCAAAGTGGTTCTGCACCTTATCCAAGATATATGAAAAATTCTACCACCTTTGTAACAACGAAGGAGAGAAGATTAGAACTACGTAAACAACGTCTCAGAGTTGTGGAGTTACCTGATATGAATATGGACAATAAATTATATCCGGAACGTTATCCAATAAATGTTACTATTTGAATGTGCGACATTCCTAATAAACAGACTAAAATAAATTCTACTAAACAGCCTACACATAAATCCCAGTAGAAAGTTTACCCAGTGGTTTATCCAAAATAATAGTCTGCAAGTCGGAGATTTAACTCCAGTGTAATTAAGGTAAAATGTCACTTACAAAAAATTGACTTTGTGGAACAACAACACATCCCTACTGAAGCTGAAGACAGTTGTGGCATTGTTCAGATAGTTATTTTTATCCATCCTTGGAAAGTATTTAACTTCGCTTAGACTCAAAAATGATTTTTATCCTGCAGTTTAGTTTTCCTCAATTGTAAAATCACAGTTTTAGACTTTTCGTGCCACCTCATAGCCACCGGTAACACTCACTTAAACCTAGTAAAAAGGATCAAGTTGAAAATAAGATTCTAATTTTTAATTGATGTTTCTAAACCACAAATATGATTTAAGGTGAAGATTAATCACCACAGAGCATGGAGATGGACATACTTAACAGGTTCGAATACATAAGGGTGCCTAATATACAAAATACCCTCGCCTGGTTAACTTGTTCACTAGTTATTAGCCGGTCCTAAGCCCAGGTAAAGAGGGAAGGTTCGGCATACACCTAGCAACCCTACGCCGGAAAACAAATCTAACCGCTAAAGAAACTTCAAAGCACAAACAAAATATAAAAAATGAAAACAAACTTATTCCCCGCTGGAATCGGAGAGGCAAAATGACGCCAGTTGGTGAAAGCCTTCGGGAAGCCAATTGGTCGATGTGTCTTCTCACTCTCGATGAAAGCGAAAGTGAACGTGGGGACATGGAATGTCCGTACGATGTTTGAACCCAGCAAGGCAGCCCAGATTGCAAACGAGATGAGAAGGTATCACATTGAAGGGCTTGGAATTCGCGAAAGCAGATGGAATGGGATTGGACTCTCGAAACTGCCAACTGCAGAATTAATAATCTTCTCCGATATTGTCACACAGACGACCACCACGAGGACACTGAGTTCTCGAGTGGCTATCATGATGTCCCCAACAGCATCGAAGGCTCTCTCTCATGCAGTGGGAACCAATCTCCTCCTGCAGGATCATGACAGCAAGGTTCAACTCAAAAGGAAGGAGGGTCACAATCATACAATACTATGCTACGCACCTACAAATAATGCAGATCAGGAGAAGAAGGAGGAATTCTACAGACAACTGCAATCAACACTGGACAAGACACCACTCCAGTTGGCGATATCAAAATTCTAATGGGCGACATGAATGCCAAACTGGGAGTGGACAACACAAGAAGAGAACTAACCATGGGTGGAGAAGCGCCAGGTGAAATAAATGAGAATAGAGAGTTGTTTGCAGAATTCTGTGCATTCAACGATTTGGTGATTGGAGGCCAGGCAGTGTGTTCAAGCACAAGGATATCCACAAGACAGCGACATGGATTTCACCGGACACCAGGACACACTACACTAAAAATCAGATCAACTTCATCTCAGTGTGAAGACAGTCGAGACGCAGTCTACTTGACACAAGGTCAAGAAGAGGAGCAGATGTAGGTTCAGACCACTATCTAGTGCAAGGAACCTTCCAAATCAAGTTGAAAGCCTTCAAGGAAGCTGGTGATAGACCGCAGTTCAAGTACAACACTCGGAAACTGGAGGATGAAACTAGAAAGGAAATCTTCATGGCAGTCATCAAGACAAAATGGGAGATATCGAGGAACATACTTGAAGAAACCTGTGTGGAAGAACACTGGAACTCTTTTAAAGAGATGTGGAAAGAAACCTGTACAACCATATTAGAAAGGAAGAAAAAAGAAGATAAGGAATGGATCTCGATGGACACGTGGAAACTGATAGAGCAGGGAGAGGGACGTGGTGATGGTGAAGCAAAAGATGGACCAGTGCGAGGATGAACAACGAGAAGAGGACTTGAGTACAATGTATAAAACATTACATTGGACAAAGAAGTGAAGAGGAGTGCACGGAAAGACAAAAGACACCTGATAACATTGTGTCAAACAACCAGGTTACTGTCTATCTGGGAAGAGGTCAACACAGACGAAACCAATTAAAGATGATGAAGGAAACTTAATTACCAAAGAAGAGAAACGAAGGAAACGATGGGTTGACCACTTCAGGAAGCTCTTGAATCGACCACCACCTGCACTTCGTCCAGAAATACCACCTGCAGCCTAGCCACAGAACTACAAGTGAACACAAATCCTCGGACAAAAATCGAAGTCCTGAGCGCCATAAAGCTACTGAAATGCAGGAAAGCAGCAGGACCAGATGGGATCCCGCCAGAAGCACTGAGGGCAGACACAGAGACAACAGCGGACATGTTCACACAACTATTGCAGAATGTCTGGAAGGAAGGGAAGGTACCTACAGATTGGAAGAAGAGTTATCTTGTCAAACTGCCGAAGAAGGGAGACCTCAGTGTTTGCAAGAACTGGCGCGGAATCACTCTCCTGTCCACTCAATGCGAGCAAAATATTAAGCCACATCACCCTGGAGAGGCTAAAGGATGCACTGGATTCAAAACTACTACCGGAACAGGCAGGCTTCAGGAAGTACAAATCATGTGCAGACCAAATTGCAACGCTACACTTAGCATCATCATAGAACAGAGCATAGAATGGCAATCAGCTCTCTACCTCAACTTCATCGACTTTGAGAAGGCCTTTGATAGCGTCGACCGAGAAGTAATTTGGAAACTACTTCAATACTACGGAGTACCGCAAACCTTTATCCGCCTCATTCAACAACTATATGAAGATGCCACATGCCAAGTAATCCACAATGGGAAGCTCAGTGATGCCTTTG